TTCCAGTGGAAAAATACTAAGTTGCTAATAACTCTCAAACCTTTTTCCATGGAATTTCAAACATGAAGGAAGATTTCCAAAGGTGCTTGGCAAGCAGCATTGCATCAGTACCAGACATGGATTTTCCCCACAAGTTTCCTGGCTCCTCAGGAACCCACCAGAACTTACCACACTTCCCCAGCCCTTCTCTGAAAGAGATGTGATAGCTGGGAATGCAGGGCTTTTACACTCCCTGATAAAGTGTTTCCTGGGAGATATGGACTCAGGAAGCCCTTGACAACTGCTGACTAAAACTGGCATGGTGCTTGTCATCTCTACCACTCTCTGCAGCTGAATATGTGCACTCAGACCTCTACTACAACAGCAGAGATCCCATCACTTCAAAGCAGCAGCTACCTCTGCTCTGTGAATTGTGTCTCACCAAAGGGAATGCAAAAAATTACTATGTCTGCCATCATGTTTCCAGTTATTTTTGGTTCCTGGGGAATTCTGGAGAGAGTAGCTTCATTTATGCATTGGACAAAACCCAAGAACAAGGGCTTAATACAAACAGTATTCCCTAAGTTTCAAGAAGCCCTCTGCACATGAACATACATGTTCCCTGCCATGCTTGCTGCTCCCTGCCTAGCCTAGGCTGGAGGGGGATCTTCTCAATCCAGCTAAATCACTAGCACATTTCCAGAGGGTTGGGAGCTATACAGAAAGGGGTAAAAGTAAAATATTTTCAATGACTTTTTAATGCACCTAAGACAAATGTACTAGGACTAACTCAGCTAACATCTTTCTATGAGGACAGCACTGTTTTCCCAGTGGCCATGAGTTGTGCTGCTCTGAGGCTGAGGTGTGTTTTAAAGGGCTTCATACTTGTTTGAAATCCCCTGAGAATGCCATGAACTGGTGGCTTTCCCGAGTATCCGGGAGGGAGCCAGTGGCTACTACAGGGCCAGGGCACAGCCCTGTTCAGAAGACCCTCCTTTTGGAGGCTTGTTGCACAACCCCAGCCAAAGCACTAAGATGTTGCCTGCCAGGCTTTCAGACAGTGAATTAGCAATAGCACAAGTTGCCTCACACAGGGAAGTCAGGTGAAATTCACTGTTTATGAAGAGCAAGCAGAATGTCCCTGGCCAGTATAAAATATTCTCTTTTTTCCTTTATTGACACTCGCAGGAACAGTTAATGCTGGGTTTGGATAGAGCTGATGACACTGCTATTGCTCATCATTTATCATCTCTAGATTATTGTGGTTGCAAATCATTTGGCAGATTCCTCTCTTTTTTTCCTGCTCCACAGATGGCAGTGTCCATGAAGCATGACACCCTTGCAGGCATCTGACTGTGAGGCTGGAAGCTTGAGGACCCTTGGGGGTAAAATGCCCCTCAGTATTATCTGACCTCTAATGTTCTTGGGACTGATGTGCTGTAATTTGCACAGTTCTCTCTGACAAAAACTCCCTCTGCTGGGATCTTAGTTTGCAGACTGTGCTGCTTCTGAGAGGAACCTGTGCCTGTGAAGGGCCATCACACCTCAGAGTGTAATTTTATTGCTGTGCCACTAAATGTTCGTGTTTCAGCTCCAGTTCATCCTCTTCTCGGGGGGAAGGGGGGCTGGGGAAGTATAAGGCATTTAAGCTGTAGCTAGACTAAGGGAGCATGGAGTAAGCCCACCACTGTAATTTTATGTGAAAGGAAACATGCAGAAGCTGCACTTCTCCAGCTTATGTCCTGGATTTTTTCCTGCTAACAGAGCTGAGCAGCTCCTGCAGCTGCAAATGAGGGTGTTTCCAGTCCCAAGGCACACTGAATCAATCAATTCAAGCTGTTCTCCTCTCCTGGCTTATTAACAGTTAAAAACTAAGAAAACACCATGTCTTGCCCGAACACCTGCCTCATTTGCCTTCCCCTCAGCACAGCAACAACCCCCACCATGGACTAGCCCTCATTTGGCAGCTTGGGGGAAAGCACGGGTCAAATTCTTTTTCAACGATGAGCTGTAACCCTGTGATCTTTAATAGGATTATACTGCGGGGAAAAGACAGGACTCAGCCTTGTGATTGCAGAGCAACTTATGATTCATGGACATTAGGGTACTGTGTGGGAACATCCTGGACATGGCTGATGCCTTCTCCTCCTTGCATTTAGATCTCTTTGCACAGAAACACAGGGTTTGTTCAGCTATCCCTAACCTCAGTTCCTGACCCTACATGGCCAGCACTGTCCAGCTGCCTGGGGCTGGGCCAAGTCCAGAGCAAGGAGGGAGCAGTCAGTGAATAATGGAAGTGACCAGCCATGCTCTCTCTGGGTTTGTGCCCTGGGGATAACTGGCTTTCTAAGTGAATCACAGTACAATTCACTCTTCCCTCCTAACCCTTCAGCTTTTTCTGCCTTACAGCTCTCCCCAGAAACATACTTTGGTGACAACATGCAAGCTGGCATGTGCTGCAGCACTGGTGACTCTCAGAGGAAATCCTGGGAACAATTTGTCTTTTCTCTTGCACGCAAATTTTTGGTGAAACTTAGAGAACCAGTACTATTTTTGGAGCCCCTTTCTGGCTGAAATTGGCTAACAAGTTTAATCATAAGGGTGACATAGAGGGTAGTCCACAAGATTCCCATGAAAGTTCCGTAAGAAACAGGTCTAAAACATACCTAAAATTAGATGGAGTGTGATGTGTTAGGAGCCAGGCCAGGTTTACAAGACAGAGCATGTGCAGCAGAACATGCCCCTCTCCCAGGGGCATCCTTCAGGACTGCCTTCACAGCCAAATAGTCTATTCCAGCCCTCAGCTAGAAGCTCTTCCCACTGTTTATGATGGGCCTGTACTGTAGGATAAAGACCCAGGCACCGCTGAATCATGCATTTGCCACCTCCCACCATCACTAATGCACCACACACCACTTAGGAATGAAGGTTTGGGGTTTCTAGAAATAGAGTGAAATAAAATATCATGTCATCTGCCTGAAGATTCAGCAGCCCACATGTTCTCCCACACACGCTGCTATGAAGGTACCGTACCAGCGCTTTGGGCAGTCCTCGGGCTGTTGCTTTGGGAGCAGATCAGACTCAGGCTCCAACCCCTCAGCACAAGTGTGCTGCAGAAACAGGCACTCACACCAGCAATATTTATCAGGGACAGTGGTCCTTTCTGCATCAGGGCAAACTTGCAGGAGATCAGGACAGAGGAGTGTCGCCAGTTAATATTACAAGTACAGCTTCTTTTTTCTCTCGCAGGAACAGGATGATCTTACTGTAACCAAGCCTGAATTCAAGCCTCTCTTCTCAATATACCCCATCCCAACACTGCAAAATATAAAAGCTGGTAAATAAAATTCCTAATGTATCCTAGCAGGGAGAAGAGTTTCTTCAGAATGTGTCTATTTAGATAATCTCTGCAGTGCTCAGATACCATGGAAATTAGTAAAAATAATATCATAGTGAGCCTGCTGCACTGCAGCTTTATGTATCATTTACTGTTGCCATGATTAAAACTCTCTTGGAGTTTCTACCCCCAGGCTTGGCCCAGTAAGTTGACATATTTTACGATCATTTTGCACTTCCCACACATTTCACCATATTGTTTGTTATCATCTTTCCTTTCCCTGAACCTACAGCTCCTTGCTGTCCAGTACTCTCCAGGAACAGCTTCCAGGTAATGCCCATACCCTCATTTGGTTCCTGCATGGGGATTTTTCTGAATGCAGATTTCAGACTATTTAACATTGCATATCTCATCATTGCTCCCTGATTCCCTTGTGTTCTGCACTGACACCTTGTTGCCAGCTATCCTATCTTGCCAGAATCTTGGGCAGTTTTAAAAATGGCTAAGTCTATGTCAGAACCAAGGCAATTTGAATCATCTTTGATGAACTCTTTTTAAATGCTTTACTGAGACCCAAATATAGTCCACCTTATCACATGCTCCTTGAATCTACTTCACTTGCAATTCTACATGGTAGATTAATTTAAAATTCATTTTGCTGAGGCATATGTACATTTGCTAGACTGCTTATCCTCTATTCAGAGGAAACTGCCTTCTAGGCAAGCTTTTGCTGCTGTGAAGTCTGAAGACCAAAGTCCAAAAGGGTTCAGTTCACACCCAGCCCCTGCAGAAGCAATCATTAAAAGCAATTTCAGTCTCCAACTTCATGCTGCTTTCTGATGGATCACAGGTGTGTCACAGGTTGTCTTCTGCTCCATTCCTGTGATCAGATGGTTGTGATTGCAAGCTCCCAGTCCCAGTACTCCCCTTGCCAGAGTCCTGCAGGAATATCTGATTTCTTCCCAGCCCTGGCAGATACTGTGGAGCTCAATTCAGGCAAATGGGCAGCATCCAGAGGACCTGCCTTGTGGGATAAAGACCAGGCTACAGATTTTCCTGGACAGTTTTCTAGCATATCCATCTGATGATGAAGAAGTCATGCATTGTTTTCTTTAGGTGCTTGAGGTAGGAAAAAACATCAGTCCAAGAACTTACGAAAAAGCTTTGGATTGTCTGTAAAAATGTGCAAAATATTAATTATTCAGCCTTGCTGAAGATTTTGGGCTTTTTTTCTCTGTTTTTAAAAAATATCTGTTATTCAGAGAGTAGCCCAATTCAAAAACCTCTCTAGATGTAAAGAAATCCCAGAACAGAGAGGAATAATGGATGACTTAGGCTATATAAACAGTGCATTATCAAAACACACAGGTGCTAGCCCAGGGGTGGCTGGCCATGAGTACATGCACATAGAAGTGACAGCTGCACACCCCACAAGGTGAGAGGTATTTGCTTGTGCTCTGCTTCCCTCACCTTGCAGGTTCCTGATCAACACAATTGTGTTTGATCCCTGACCTTTGTAATCTATTCTATGTGCCAGCATCCACATTAGCAGATTTTCCTGAAGCAGGTATCTCTATACCATGCAAGGTCAGGGTTTGTCAAGAATATGGGTATCCCAGCTGGGAAGCAATAGAAAGACTGAGAGGGTTGCAGAAGGGAAGGTGTTTTATTGACAGAGAAGAGCAGATAACAAAATACTCAGATTCAGAACAGGGTAAGGGTGAACAATCAGTGACAAAAGGAATCTGCGTCCATACAGACAGCGACTGGTGATGTACCACAGTTGGTCATGGAAGATGACCTTTTAAATACCCCCAAGTACTCTGTTCTTCCCCTACAGCAATTCAGAGGATTCTGTTTGAATAAGCAGATTCATAGGCAAAGACCTACTCTCCCAACCAGCTACTGCAGTGAGTGTTTAATGGGAACTCCTGGATCCTAAGACCCCTGGAGTCCTTCAACCCTGCCCCAAGAAACACAGCACATGCACCACTGCAGAGATGTGTCTTTCAACACATGCCAAACTTGTGTCCTCAAAGTATTTTCCAATCATCTACTGTGGCTTCTAAAGCAATAAAAATGCAAAAGAAAGCTTTTATGCTATAAGCATCTTCAAACGCTAGAGCATTTGGACTATTAACCTTCTTACTTTTGGATGCTGCAAGCATTTAAAGATCTGCCTGGCTAAGCACCCTTTCATTAGCTAATGTAGCTGGAAGTTAGTGGAAGTAGAGGAACAAACTAAACACAATGCAATGAATGACTGCAAAAAAGGTCAAGGTGGACTGCTAAAAACAAAGCAGCTTTATTTTGCAATTTCTCATCAAAACTAACATTGATTACCTATGTTACTTCCCCAAAGGAAGAAAATTTCTGTTTGTGCTGACATTTTTCTCCTTTTTTTTTACTGGGGTGGTTCAAAGAATAATTTCCTTTCCTATGAGGCAGGTTTGAAGATTTGTGGTGTTGTCTCCTAAGCTGTTGACAAAACTTGAATTGCTTACAAACGGAAGACTAAGGCCCAAGGGGTTAATGCTTGTAGCACAGTCAAGTGATGACAGGAAAGACCTGAGAGGGTTACATATTATGAAGAGCAAGGACACAATCAGCAAAATACACCAGGATTAAATTAGCATTCAGGGGTAAAGATAGGAAGGGAAAATGTGGAGTTTGAGGAAGGACTTATTTGCGGTGAGATATACAAAATTGTCTCTCAAAAGTAATGTTACAGAAGCTCTACTGCTTGGTACATTTAAATTAAGTTGGACAAAGCAATAGCGAGTGAATGAGAGATAACAGTTCTGGTCTAGCAGGAGGAAGGCAGACTCAAGCTATTTTCATCCTCAACTCCCTGGAGCTGGCTGTTAGCATGATTGTTTCCAAGCAGGAAACTAAAAGTCTTCACAGAATAGCAGGTAGCAGCGAGCTGTGCCTGTATCTACTACCAGCTCTGGCAATTTTAGGACTGTTTGCCAAACAGATCTATGAAGAACAGGAAAAAACATGAGGACTAAGACTGCTTTTGAACTCTATGCTAAATCCAGAAATATCAAACACAAAACAAAATTCTGAAAAAATGTGTGAGAGAGAAATTTAAAAGTACTTTTCTACTTTGCCTTGTAAAAGAGATGTGTCATCAGTATTTATTTTCTGGAGCCAGACTAAATGAGGCAATTTGTTACAAGAGATGATGGAAAAAAAAGCTGTATTCTTGTAGGAATAGAAGTCAGGGCTGGGCTGTGATGAGTTCTATCACTGATTTCCTGCAAAACCCAAAGTCACCACCCCTACCTTCCCCAGAGCAACCCTGATAACATGACAGTGGATGGGACTGTTTGCCAAGTTTGCTTCATCTTTTGCTTCTTGCTCAAATCCCTCCGAAGACAAACTTCTTCCATCTGCGCTAAATATTAATCACACACAGAAGCAAGGACTTCGCTAAAGTGTGGTCAGCAAAATCAAAGCCTACTATAGTGAGAATTTAATGTAAGTATTTAAACTTCTGAAGGCTAAAACAGCTCTTTTGCGAAGCTTCTCAGCCAGGTGCTGAGTTTCAGGCAGCCTTAACATGGTGGCGAGCCAAGAAGTTGGGTGGGAGGCAGGGTCGAGGGCAGCTTGCTGCAACCACTCACAGCAGGATCCGATGGAAGGCATGATGTGATACATTGTGGGTCTGGCTCTGTACCTGTTGCAGGTTTGGTGGATCCCTGATCTTGCATTACAAGACAAAGACAACCCTCTGCAAATAAGGAAGTTGTTGAAAAAGTCTGCCATAACTCCTGAAGACAGCAGGCTTTTGAACTGGCACATAACCAAAGTGACCTACTCATTTCATGCACTTCCTTCAACAATAGCTGAGAACTTCAAGGCCCAGCTGTGCAGCAGCAGCACACCATCATACAGCCAAGTGATACTTAGAGATCTGGCTTCAGCAAATCAGGCAGTCCATTTGCTGCCTGTTTCTGCTAATACTGGGACTTGCACATGGGTAGGACATGATGGGATAGAAAAGACACGGGAAGTTGGATTTGTGCTGCTGCAATGACTGTTATCACAGGAGGAGCATGGTTTAGATACTGGTCTGGGTCTGGAGATCTTGGTCAGAGTCATCCCAAAGGTGCAGGGTAAAGCAGCAGCTTTTGATCAGCAGCAGGCCCCAGGGACCAGCCAGGCTGACAGCATCACTGGCTTTACAGGGAAAAGACTGGCAAAATGGAAGTATATTTTATGCTTGACAAATGGTAACTACCAACAGTGATTGTCATCACTTTTTCTTCAATCCACACTTCCAAGTCTCAGCTCACATTGCAATCTGGTTAATGCTCAGACGGGAGAACCAGTCACACACACACACACACACTCCTATGTATTCTTCTGGGAAAAGTCACACAGTTGTAACAGGAAAAATAGGACAGTACTGAAACATTTCTCAGCTACAAGCTCTGACTAAGAGAGAACTGTGAAATGATGGGACAGTTTTTAGGCAGAAAGGACAGATGCCAGTTTCATGCTTTGTTCAAAACTAGGCTACGTAGAGCCTTGGAGAGCACACTGTAGGCAACAGTTTGAAGGGAGTTCAGAGGACAAGCAAACAGAGCAACAAAATTCACCATATATACCGTTCATTTCAATTTCCTAAAGTTCCACAAAACCATGCATGAGGAAACCTGGTTTATGCAGTAGAGACAATTTTGTCCATACCATATCTGTGCTTGTTCTTCTGGAAAACCATCTGGAAGTAGCTGGTACTGTGTTTTCCACTTGGCTTTCATGGCTGAAAGATTAGAAATACATATTTGTCATATATATTGGCATTCCTATTACCTCTGCAATTAATGTCACTACCTCTCCTGGCTAAGCAATCTCTTTCTAAAGCAGCTGACTGTACCCAATTAAGGAATAAGCTGTGTATAAGAAATCACACATTCTCTCAGGAAAGGGGATTTTAAACTAAAGTTTCTATTAAGTGAGGTTGGAAGGAAATCTATCCTGGCTTTTATCTTAATGGTCTTTTGAATGTCACCTTTCAATTTAGATCCTCTTGTGATAATCAGTGGCTTCCCACTTACACACAGAGGCTTTGGCAGCTCTTTTCATAATACCTGTCCCTTCAGGCAGCGCTCCAATTCAGGCAGCTTGAGTGTCTATGCAAAGAAAAGCAGCATTTATTAAAAAGAGCACACAAACTTCATCCACTCTGAGCCTCATACATTAACCCCTGGTGAAAAGGATTTCCAGTTCCTCTTCATGGAATTGGAGGCTCATGAATACAGAAAACCCAGTGGATCAGGCTGTTACTTATGCCATGTCCCCTAGCCTTCCTCTAGGACAATAGAAAGCATCAATTAGGAACAAAATGAATCAGTAAAATATTGGACAGTAAAATGATCAGACATCACATATCCATGTAAGAATTATTAATGGGGCATGAATAATTTCAGAGTCACAGAATGGGTCAGGTTGCAAGGGATCATTTGGTCCAACCTTAATGCTCAAGTGGGGTCATCCTAGAGCACATGGCATGGGATTGCATCCAGGTGGTTCTTAAATATCTGCAGTGAGCAAGATTCCACAACCTCTCTGACAACTGCTACAGTGCACACTCAGCCACAGAGTATAAACGTATCTTTTTCCTTTTGTTCTGCCGGAATTTGCCGTGCATCAGTTTCTGCCCATTGCCTCTTGGTCTATTGCTTTGGCAGAGAACAGCCTGGCTCCATCCTCTTGGTACTCTCCCTTAAGATACTTAAATATATTAATGAGGTCCCCCTCTCAGTGGTCTCTTCTTGAGGCTGAACAGGCCCAGCTCCCTCAGTCTTTCCTTGTAAGAGAGACTTTTCAATCCCCTCTCCATCTTCGTAGCCCTTTGCTGGACCCACTCCAGGAGCTCCATGTCTGTCTTGTCCTGAGGAGCCCAGAACTGGACATAGCACTCTAGTTGTGGCCTCACCAGGGCTGAGCAGAGAGGCAGGATCACATCTCTTGACCTGCTGGCAGTGCCCTTCTTAATGCAGCACAGGACCCCATTGTCCTTCTTGTTCACAAGGGCACTGCTGGCTCATGGACAGCTTGTTGTCCACCAGGGCTCCCAGGTCCTTCTCTACAGAGATGCTTTCCAGCAGGCCTCCAGAATGAGGTACTCCTTCCCTTTCCAGGAGCTCAGGTGAAGCTGAATGGTCAGTAGCTCCTTAGGTTCTCCTTCTCGCCATTTTTGAAGGCTGAGGTCACATTCACATTCCAAACTTTTAGGTACCTCTCCTCGTTGCCACAAAGATGATTGTGAGTAGCCCGGTACGGTATCTGCCAGCTCTCTCAGCACTCATGGAGGCATCCTGCCTGGGCTCACGGACTTGTGGATGCCCTCTAGTCCAATCCTCTTTAGCCAAGGAAAAGTCTTCCAACACTCCTTTACCCTGGGCTCCCAGGTCAGGGCTTCCTGATGGCTGGTCTTGTCAGTAAAGACCAATGCAAAAAAAGGCATTCAGCGCCTCTGTTATCAGGGCCCACCCTTCATTTGCCAACAGGCTCGTGTTATCCTTAATTCTCCTTTTGTTATTGACATATATTTCCTGCTGTCCCTGACATCCATTGCCACAATTGATTCCACATGGACCTCAGCCTTCTTTGTCTTATTTATACTTATTCTGCCACCATTTCTACATTTGCCACTCCAAATTATTTTCATTTAGAAGAGTGCATCCATTATGGTTGCATGGCATTACCAGTCCTGTCTGACATAACCTCTCTAGACCTTTAAAAATTCTACATTCAACCATTTCTTGAAGGTAATTTTCTTCCTGTTCCTCCTACAAAGACAAAACAGCAGGTACTGCCTTTTATTAATATATCCATTTTAATATGTCTGCTACAAGATCCATTAAAAATGCACCCTCACTGGTAGTAATAGACCTCTTTCTTCATCCTGTCTTAACACTCTTAACCACCACCTCCTTCTGTAACTTCCAAAAAATACAGCAAGTAAGCAATGCAGGGTAGGCAGTAAATCTTTTTGCACTCTCTATCCAATTTTCTGCCATTACAAAAATAAGTTTCCAGGGATGAGTGCTTACCCCAAAGACGGCAATAGGCAAAGGAAGAAGCACACGTGTTACTCCTCAAAGCAACAGTGTGGTCAGTGGCTTCCCCCTCTTTCTCTCCACAGACTCACCTGAGAGTGACTGCATTGATCATTGACAGCTGTGGGCAGTTAATCTATCAGGGGATTATTTTGGCAGTACTTTGAAGCATTTGCAGGATCCCTCACCCAGCATAAGCTGATGTAGCTTTGTTGCAATGTGACGGTCTGGCCTAACACAAATGAAAAAGTAAGCATAGCTGCATGTTGAATGGAAAGATCCAGCTGAATTGCAATGTAATCCTTCTCTAATACTGATGTGGAAGCACAGTCCCAGCTTCACAGGGCACAGACAACCAAGAGCACAGAGTTGCTGATTAAACAAATAAACCAGCTCTGATGAGCAGAGAAATGCTGAACTCTTCCATCAGCAGTTCACTGAAGCAAGCTCTCAGCACACAAATAAACAGATGCCAGATGTCCCTCAGAGCAGTGCAATAATATCAAGAAAAATTCAGGTGATGAACTGATATCTAAAGTAAAAAAAAAAAATTTCAAAAATCAATATATTTCTTTGCACCATTTTAGAGCAACAAAGGAAGTACATCTGACACAAAAACTGGCCAGCAACAACTGGAATGTTGCACTTCTGCCTGCTTCCTGTCCATTTTAGTTCATCAGCAAGCTTGTCATGAAGGTCAATGCATTTTAATAATGTCATCCAGAGAACAAACAGTTCCCAAATTTCAGTAATTGCTTTGTCAAATCTCAGGATAGGATTCCTATCCATTTACAAAATTGTCATTTCATGGGAGAACCTTAAATTGTGTGAGGGGTTTAACGATAAGCTTCTGAAGAAAACTCACTACATGCAATCTTCATTGCTCTTTGCAAGGAGAGCAGAGCATTTCCTGCTGTTCCTATACAAAACAATGCAGGGGGTGAAGCTCGCTCTGCAGCACAGCAACCCTGAACTGCTGCTTTCACCTGCTGCCCCTCAGCTCCTGGGCTGCCTCATCCTGGGCTGTGCCAGTGCAGCTCCAGCTCACCTCTGCAGTTCCCGTGGGATGTCTGTGTGGAGTAATGAATATATGGGCTCCAGTCTTGCACTTCTCACTGCACCTTGTGGCATAAATTATGGCAGCATGATACCACCCCTTCCTGTCTAGTTGTGCCATGTCCTTTCCCGAAAGATTTATTGCCAAATGCTTTCCTTTTTCTTGGTATTAACATGGTGTAAATATCAATTTATCAGAAACTGTCACCAGCATTTAATCTAGCCCTTGGCAACAGCGTCGCTCTAAGAGACCTACAATGAGTATCAGCCTGACAAGTTACTCTTTGGGGTTTTTGAAAGGATTTTTATATGATTTGAGATATCAATCACACAGGTATGTGTGGTTGCATCATTATGTCACCCACAAGTGGCACAAGTATTTCAGTCACCAATGAGAAGAAGCACAATCTCAGTTAGCAAACCCAGGAATTTTACAGGTAGAAATAAATCATCCCTTTCCAACTTCAGTAGTATTTCAGTCACCAATGAGAAGAAGCACAATCTCAGTTAGCAAAACCAGGAATTTTAGCAAACCCAGGAATTTTACAGGTGGAAATAAATCATCCCTTTCCAACTTCAGCTTTCAGGAGAGCACAGCTGTGAAATGACACCTTCAGCATTTATCCACATGGAAGTCATTAGCCCAATTTCAGGTTAGTTTACAGCTATGCATGCATCTGAAAATTGCACAGGAATGAACTGACAGCTTTTTGTGGTGCCATGATTCTTTCTCCTAGTGTGTGTCTAGTGGGACTCTTAATGAAACAAAGATCTAATGGGGAAAAAAATCCCAAAACATCTCTAACTGTATCATTAAAAATGTGATGCCTCAGTGCACAGACAGCATGTAGAATCCAGTACTGACAGCTATCCAGCCTGGACTAACACCATGTGCCTTTCAAGACCAGCTGTGTTACCCAGCAGCCAAAAGCCCCTTCCTTCCCTAAGAGAATCAGAGTTTGAAGATGGTCGTGGGAACCATTCTCATCTCCCTGCCTGCCGATGACTATCAAGATGCAGGTGGGTCCCTCGCACTGGATTGCAGAGAGCTGTTGGGCAAGGCTCTGACTGATAAAGTTGCTCATGTTGACATGCTTTCTGTTCAGCATTGAGCTCATGGTGGGTTGAGGTTTGAGCTACTGGTGCTCTGCTGCTCCAGAGTGAGGAGAAAGGTTTAACAACTGCATTAGGAAGCCCCTAGTTTTCCCTCCAGCATATACAGCATTTGCTTTAGAGAGGATGTTTCCCTACCCTCAGAAAGCACTTTTAGTTCTGTAGGAGACCATAATTTTTCTAAGATATGCAAAGAAAAGCAGGGAAGTAGTTAACAAGCTCAGTCTATCAAAGCAGAATTGTATGGGTCAGGGGAGGGCTTGTTCATACTTCCACAGCACAGCTGGGAGCTTCTCAAAGAGAGAAATCGCAAGAATGGTTTGTACTGAAAGTGAAGGCACCCTGAGCACGGAGGCTGTCATGAGACTGAACACCCATCCTTCTGATATTCAGCTTAGTTAAAACAAGCCATCAAATAAAAAGGGAAAGTATGTTACAGGACTACACTAAGGAAATATTGGTTATATTCTGAAAGTGCTAAAGGGTCATGGCAGCAAAGTACACAGGGCTCAGCAAACGCATATTCAACTAAATTGCATCTGTGGGAAGGTAAAGAGAATGATGCCGAGGGGCAGGATGCCATCCAGAGGGACCTGGATAAGCTCAAGATAGGCCCGTGTTAACTCATGAGGTTCAATGAGGCTGAATAATAAGGTTAAGTGCAGAGTCCTGCACTTGGACTGGGGCAACCAGCAGCATCAATACAGGCTGGGGGTGAAGGGCTGGAGAGCAGCCCTGTAGAGGAGGACTTCAGGGTGCTGGTGGACATAATGGACAGCAGTGCATCCAGTACGACCAGGGCAGTGATCTCCTCTGTACTCAGCACCCAACAGGCTGCATCTCAAATCCTGTGTTCAGTTCTGGGCCCCTCCCAACAAGAAAGACATTGAGGTGCTGCAGTGTGGTGAAGACCCCACCTGCAGTGCTGCATCCAGCTCTGGGGTTCCCAGCACAGGAAGGACAGGACCTGTTGCAATAGTTTCAGAAGAGGGCCACAAAAATCATCAAAGGGGTGGAGGTCTTTTCCTGTGAGGAAAGCCTGGAGAAGACAAGGCTCTAGGGAGATCTCCTTGTGGCCTTTCAGTGCTTCAACAGGGATTATGAAAAAGATGGGGACACACTTTATACTAAAGCTTGTATCAATAGGAAGCACTAATGGCTTTAAACCAAAGGAGGGTAGATTTAGGCTAGATGCAGCAAAGAAGTTTTTTTACAATGAGGGTGGTAAGACACTCGAAGACGTTGCCCAGAGACATGGTAGATGTCCTATCCCTGGAAATATTCAGTCAGGTTGGACAGGTCTCTGAGCAATATAGTTGATGTTCCTGCTTATTGCAGGGTGGCTGGACTAGACAACCGTTCAAGGTCTCTTCCAACCCAAACTACTCTGTAATTCTATGACTTTGCTCTGCTTGTCTCCCACCACTGACTGCAGAGGAACCCTACAGAACTACAGATCACTGCTCACTGCAGCAATCTAGTGGGTCAAGCTGAGCTTGGAGCTTCATTGGGTAAGCAGATAACCAGCTACTGCTACCCAGAAAAAACATGCTGGTGTCTGTGGTGTGTGGGGGAAGATGGGTCCCTCTAATGTCACTGGGGAAGAGCCTGCACTATTCAATGCAGTCACTGGATTTTCTCCAGTAGGTTTGGGTTTTGAAAGCCTTCTGTAGCTGTCCCTTACTTGGGGAGGGATGGGGCATTCAGGGAGAAACACAGAGAAACCTGCCTGGTGAGCAGGTTTTTCTGCTCTTCATCAGTGCCTGCTGAGTGTCTATCCTGATGCCCCAGAACTGCACACAGAAGCCCTGTGGGCAAATAGTTCTCTCACCCAGAACAGGCCATGGTAAGCAGGGCAGTCCATTTTGCAGGCACTTCATTTCATGCAGAAGAGAGTTTGTGTGTTGTAGCTTGGGCAGTTAATTAAGAACTGAGAGCACTTTTCCTGGGGCAATGCGCTTGTTCCTTAGAAAGGGTGGTTGATATTATTTATGGCTTGCATTGATCTAACAGCTTGCTGCCAAGGAGAGAAGTCCTACTTTTCCCTCCCTGCATTGACATTAGCCCTGGCAGCCCTCTGAGCTGGCTCTGCTCCCTGAGCTGGCAGAGGCAACCTCTATAAGTCCCAGGGGAACAGAAACTGGGAGCAAGAGGACCCCTTGACTGGGAGCCATGGCAGTGGGAGCAGAGAGCTGTTCACAGCTGATCACATTATCTCCAAGGTGCCAACTTCCATTTGGTGCTAAACAGAGGTGAGATGAAACCTGCTTAAAACACTGATCTGGCTTCTTGGCATACACAAATAACAATAAAACTGTTTATGGTATTATTGTCCTGCAGGATACCTGCCTCATTCTCTAGGCAGCATGGGCTGTCCAAAACTCTTTTTCATTCACTGCACAACATGAAGCATGTTAGGCAAGAAACATGGGCCAAAGAGACATATAATTAAGTAATGAACCACCATTGTAACAAACAGGCATTGACTGTCAAAGTTAAGAAGGAAAGCACAATTTTATAAGTGTTTGAATTTGGAGTGCTTCCACTAGGAAATATGTCCTTTTGCATGTAGCTCTTAGTGTAATTTTGGTTTTACTATGAGAAACTGCCTCAAAAAAATTATTTACCACACCAAACCAATGCCCAATTGTGCACAAGTTTATATGAGGGTGCATCACTGTGATCCCCTCTGATAAACAGTCTGGTGTTTTAGCTAATTGATCTTGTGCTGCCTGCACCATTTTAGGGCCAAGGAGTGCTGCCAGCACCTCCCGTAGCTCTGGTTAATGGGTATGAATTTCTGCACATGT